GCACTGCAGGCTCCCCTGGAGTCCTGCCCACTGGGATGGGGTGGTAGTGAAAAAAGAGGAAGAGGTAGGGAGCCAAAAACTCTGGCTACTGCTGCAGCAGGACCTGTAGGATCAGTGGTGGCTGGGTGGTAGCTTGGGGGTTGTGACTTAACCTGTCATAGGCTGTGGTCTTATACCGTAATGGAAAATGTTGAAAGCCATCAAAGCCCCAATTTGCAATTTATGATCTAAACTTTTATATTTAGTAACTTAATAGATATTACTGAATGGGAATCTTTTTATTTTCTAAATCTCTTTTTGGTACTAATGAGAGGGGAGACAACAGAAGTATTTCTGAAAACATAATGCAGAAAAATTGCTCCCAAATTAAACATGAGGACAGCATAAAAGATTCTGCTAAGGACAGTTGATCCACAATTTTGATTTGAATGTATGCTTTGTATCAAAGGTGCAGAAGATGAAACAGGCTCAGTGTTACAATATCCTACGCAGTATATTAACCAAGAACCCTACATGCATAATCAAGATGATGAGCAGCAGCAGGGATGGTTTTCTTGGGCCTGGTCACTTGTTCCTGCTATTGTGAGCTATGATGGAGAGGATGGGTCTATTGGAATGGATGATGGAACAACATTGCATCAGCAGAAATTCCAGGCTCTCAAGGATCCTATTGTTTCTGTTGGATTTTACTGTACAAAAGCAACTGTAACTTTCAAAGTAAGTATTTCTTTGTTATAGAGTCTATTAATTATTTTGCTAAGCAATACATTAATACATTAGAGGTCGAGATGTTCTCATGTTTATTCTGAATAAAAAAAAATATTACATAATAGCTGAAAATATGAATATTTGAAAAGTTTATTTTTCAGTCAACACATAATTAACAGTATCAGTAAATCTTGTTAATGAAATTAAAGTTAGTTAAATGATGAAAAGATCTCATTCTAAAGGGAAATTATGAAAAGCGATAAAAGTTTAAAATAAGTCCTCCAGTCCAAGCACTTTTTCCTGCCTAGGCAGGGGGTCGGACTTGATCTGTTGATGTCCCTTCCGACCCTAGCATCTATGAATGAATAGCACTATATAATTGGCAAAAAAAAAGTTCTTAATAGCAGTGGAATGTTTATTATAATGTTGTCTTCTTCATCCACTTAAAATCTGGTCACATTTGCTTGACCTAATTTTAAGAATTTTTTTCCTGATATAGCAACTTGGTGATTGTTCAAGTCATTGTATTTGCCGTAATGCTTCACATAAAAATAGATATCTGGAAGTTGCTAATTAATTGATGCTTGAGTCAAGTTTTCATATCAGGTTTGAAATACCTAGTATAGATTTACCTTCACGCCACCTGTTCAATATGAAATAAAATAATAGCTTTCCTACAGTGTTTGCTTATCTGTAATTTACTTTATTTTGTGTTTCCATGTGCATGTTAAAAGAAAGCCTGGTTCTACAGACCTTGCTCATGTGATTATATTGAAGTTGCTGGAATTACTCATGTGAGCAAGGATGACAGGATTGGGTCTTTTAATGTACCATTATAGGCGTGCTTGTTTAATGGATGTAGTAAAACCTTGTAAATTATGGAGTCTTTACATTCTAAAAATATAAAATGTAAGTGGTGCGTGAGAGCAGTATGGTGAGATTTAGGAGGAAAACATTAGAATTCATTGTTCTGTTTGCATGCAAAGAATGTATGGAATTAATTTGTGGTTCATATTTTGGTCAAAAAATAAGGTCAGGTTTCTGCATTAGCATTTGGAACAGCTGATACCATTCCAGCTAAAAAATCATGCCAAATTAAATGTAGCATTTTTCTAATAATGTTGAAAATTGTTCTCGTAATGTCTGAGTTCTTTTAATCAATTAATTGCTTTTCCTCCACAATAATTGCACACAGCTGAAGGGTGATCAGGTTTTTTAGAAAAATCCAATTTTACTTGAGTATTTGGATTACAGAATTTTACTTTGAAACAGCAACCATGTGTATATAGTCTTGGAAATTAAAGTAATGAGCTTGTGGGTATTTTATAGAAAAATTAGAACTTGAATTATTTCAACAGATCAAAAATAAGCAAAACTGAAAAAGTTCTTTACTTAAGTGCAAGCTTTTCACTATTTTGGACTTATTCCCTTGATACAATATTGACTGTTATTTAACTATGTAATGTATATTTTCCCATAGTATGTTTCTTTACTACTTGAAAGATTTGATGAATGAATAGTTATAAGCATCTAAACCATACAAAAATGTAATAAAATTTACTTTCAAAATAATATGACAAAAATCTAGGCATGATTTAAATTAATTAATTTTGCTTTAGTTTTACATGTTGTGAGTTATTTACTATTCAGAATAAATGCTATAATAAGTTTATAGATTTTAGGCAAGTTTATAAACTCAGTTGATAGTGTGTCTGTGTTGCAGCTGCATATCTGTTATTTCATCTTTTACACATTGTTGATATAAGAAGAGAAGCTTAAATAAAAATACTATAGTGTTTAAAACTTTCTTATGCCATACATAAGATTAAATTGGCGTATTCAGCTAGAAGTTCTTATGTTCTAATATGGATAATGTGTTACAGCTGTTTTACTGCACCTGTTTCCTGCCTAATAATAAATTTTGGCCCATAGTAAAGTTTAATTTGTCTTCATCAATTCTATATAGTAATGACAGATTACTGCTATTTAATGCTAATATTGGCTTATATAAGGTGTTTATCATATTGTTTCATAGCTCACTGAAATGCAAGCTGAAAGTAGTTATTATAGCCCTCAGAAAGTAAAATCCAAAGAAGTTATACGATGGGAGCAAGAAGGAACCACAGTTGAGGTAATTTTCCACTGCAACTAAGTTTTTCAGTTTATAGTAAATGCCTTGGCAAATTGAAGTTTAATAAATATTTTTCATCAGTTAAATATTCTGAAATAGCAGTTGTTATTGGTTTTAAATTCCTATGTTATTATATAGTTATATTTATTGAAGTAATTTCTTTTCCAGATTTCTAGAGTGTAGAATACTGTAACCCTAAGATGTAGTAAGAGTGTACTTGTAAAGATCATGCTACTTGATAGACTTTTTGATTAATTAAAAACTTCAAATGAGTTTACCATGTTAGATTTTTCATTTTTTCTTCTTTTCTACTTAATTTTTTAATGTCAAGTAACATAGCATTTTTCATCATGTCACTTTTCTCCCAATAGGTCCTTATGATGGGTGAACCTTTCTTTGATTGCCAAATAGGTTTTGTTGGTTGCCAAGCTCTGTGCCTTAAAGGAATTATGGGAATTAAAGACTTTGAAGAAAATATTAATAGAAGCGATGCAGTAAGTACATTTGGAATACTGCTTGATTGTTCAGTGCACCAATGCTGATGTGCTTTATTGATACATAATATTGTAAAGCCATTGTTAATATCCATTTCATTTTCTTGGATGTAGCATTAATGAAATAAGTCTTAAGATATTCCATGCAGAGCTGAGAGGAAAAAAAATTGAGGGGCAAATTACAAAGTTTGAGAGAATCTCTTTTTCTCACAGCTTTTTTCAAAGTGTAAAGGAATGTTGTTCTTTTTTGGGCCATGTGAAGGGGTTTCTGTTTAGTAGAAGCATCTATAACTGGGTGTTTTGGGGGAGTTTTTTTCAGTTAAAGGGCAGGGAAGGCTATAAAATTACTAAACCATAAAACCTGTAAAATTATTTCAGTGCATATTGGCTGGCCTAGGGTTTCTGGTGTAGTGATCCTATACTTAATAATGCTTTCCAGTTGTACATCACTTTCAATCTAAGCATCTCTAAGTGCTTTTCAGAGATGGTTATTTTGGAGTTTTTATAGCAAATCCTGACTATCCTCGCAACCTCCCATAGTTCTGCGTAAAGCAAACATGATTGCCTGTAACTAGTTTAGGCTGCCTGATCACCAGGCTTTCTACATACATAGAGTGGAAGCAAGTTGATTGGGCCTGTGTCTTGACAGCAGTCCTGATTTTGTCAAAGAGGTAGAGTAGTCATGGCTATAGGGGCAAGTAGGAGCAGGCGGGTAAGCAAATAATGATTTTCAGTGAACAGCAAGCTGAGGATATTGTTAATGTAAAGCTAACAGTATTCTGAGCAAACAGATTTTTCTAAACAAATTCTCTAGTGATAGATACATTAATTCAAGATATTTTTATTGTAAATGGGAAAAATCCTTAAAGCTATTTAAGTAATTCTATTTTAATGTCTTACCTTGGCTTTTACTAGTATTTCTATTGAAATTGTGACTAATCTGTTTTAAATTGTCAAGGAGATACTACAGTTTGCATGTGCATCATTGTCTTAAGACAGCCCTTTGGTCTGTTTAGTTTCATACTAATATGACTTTTTCTCTCTCTCCCTTTTTTAAACCACATTTTCAGGAGGCCTACTTTTTCACTTGTGGAGAAAATCTGAGCACAAAAGGAATGACATACCTTACTAATTCACTATTTGATTACAGAAGTCCAGAAAACAATGGTATACGCGCAGAATTTATTTTGGATGCAGCTCATCATAAGGTCAGGGGATTAATGTGTTCTGTTAACATTTTTAAAGGATTTTGAAATATGTGCATTTTGTAAGAGCTGCATAATGTCACCATTTCTTGTGCTGACTAGCAATTTTTATTCTGAAAATGGTCCCAGAGGCAAAAAGGCAAACTTGGCCCAAAATAGATATTTTTGGCAAAGTATAATTTAAGAAGACTGGACATGTAGTCAAGTAGCCTGATTTTCAGCTGTATTCTTACCCATTTTCTTAGAGCCTGGGTACCTGTAAAAGAATTCCGAATTTTTGTGCCAAGATATGCTCAGTTTCTCACAGACCACCAGCAAATGCTGTTCAAACCCACTACTGGTCTGTGACCACAGAGGGGTAATGCTGTTTTAAAGAGCCCAGCTCTAGAAAATGTATATATATTATTTACTTCAGATGCTTACAAGCAATGGTGGTAATTCTGTTATATCTTTTGTGACAGCCAGGCTGTATACTGTGTAGCTAACAATAGCTATTTAGTCAGATATCGATATACTGCTTCACTGTGCATTAGATCATCTTATGTTCACACACAGATCATCTTATGTTGTCTTATATAATGCTTAACAATGACTTGCCCAAGATGAAATAATCTCTTTTTTGTATTAGGAAATACCTTTATTTACTTTTAAAGATAAGTCCCTTTTGAATCTTATTTTCACCATTGGTATTTTCTTCTGATAAGACTTTTAGGCTGCTTGCGGGGAGGAGAAGGGAAGGAACCAGCACTTTAGTTTCAGCTTGGCACACCCCCCTAACGAGCACAGCACACGTCCAGAAGAGGCACTGCATTCGTTTGACCCACCTCAACCAACGTATATATAGTCTGTGTCCTTCAGTGGGGCTTTTTGGCACTTTTGTCTAACAGCTGATTTAGTTGTCCATATTGGGAGAGCTGGGTCAAACTGAAGCACTTCCTTTTCCAGTAAAGTACTGGGATTTTTTGGTTTGTTTTTGTTTTTTACAGATCAGTGGCCCTTGATAAGTGTGCTGCTGCTTGTGCTTCCCTTTCTTATATCTATCACAGCTAGGATTCAGTAATGCTCCATATTGTTTCTGTACTTTGCTATGTGATGGTTATGTTCTGGTCTTATACAAAGAAGTAGAAACTATAAAATAATTGTCATGTGTTTGTATATGGGAGAAGAGGAGTATGACAGTAGTTAACAAAATGTATATAACTTAAAAAGCCTACAGATTTGAGTGATTCAGAGAAAACTTCTAGTATGAAATGGAAAACTAGATCTAACATATTTTTGGTGGGAACGTCAAAATAAATAACAATTCTTAAGGAAGTAAGAAAGTGGTAGCTAGAAGCTATAAGGGAAGATTAAGAAAATAGATGCCAAAAGACAGTTTAACCATTGTGAACTATACTACAACTTGTCTAACTCATTTTGCTCAAGTGTTTCATACTTATGAATTGTAACCGTGGCCTTATTCTTAAATTCATCCACTTTTTTTTTAAAAATCCTCCTTATTCTTTAGGATTTTGAATGATTCATGTACCAAGAATATTTGAGGTTTTCTTTGAGTAGTAGCAAGGAACTGGAGACCTATGTGTATTGTTAGCTTTTTTTGGTCTCAATTGCTGAGAGTTTCTGGAAACTCTTCAGAGCCAAATATGTGAGATTTCCAGATTTTTGGATAAAAATTTCAAAACCCTGAAATCCCATTTTCAAAAGAAGAGGTAGACATTAGGAGTCAAAAGGCTACAGATCTTTAAATTCAGTTAATTATACTAAAAACCTATAGAAGTAACTCTTTTTAGTTCCAACTCAGTTCTCATGCTGCTCTGATTTAAAAACAAAACAAAAAAACCCCCAAACTTCAGCTTCATGACAGTATTATGTTATTAAGGTATACTGTTTTAGAGCAACAAGAAGAAAATGCAGCAGTATGTAGATGGATATCTGATGGTGTGACAATAAACTGAAATTAGTAAAGTCCAAAACTTTGAACTTTTATACCTGTTCATAAATTTCCTGATACTAAAAATAATGCTTTCCTAATTTGATGTGGTTCTCTCACTTCTATGATGAAATAAACAAGCATGCTTTTAATAATATGGTATATTAAAGCATTTTGTCATATGATATTTGTTTTCCACTGGCTAAAGTAAAATTCATTCTGTTTATCCACTCTTCCTTGCCCCCCCCACCTTTTCTGATTCCCCCAGATACTTCAGAATGAACTAGTTTTAGTTTTTGAGAGTACATTATTAGACAGGATTCCTGTGATGTGAGAGGTCAAGTGAAGTATATTCTCTCCATTAAAGGTACTAATTAACTTGATGTTATTGGTAAAGTGATCAAAATGTCCAGCAGAATTATGGATGTGCTTTTGTGTGGCCTGCAATAGAAGTTACATTACCTATCTGAAAGGTGAATTCCTTGGGATAACCTCTGTCCTTTGTTTTGATAAGCCAGTCCGTGTGTTGATGCACAAATCCAAACAAGCATATAGGTCTCTCATGCTACCCTATCAGTTTGTAATCTTAAGATTCTTTCCTTATACAACGTTTTCTTTATTTGTTTTGCTTTGTTGGTAGGAGACATACACAGAGATAGCTGGAATGCAGAGGTTTGGAGCTTTCTACATGGATTACTTGTATACAATGGAAAGCACCAGTGGCAAAGGTACCTCTTTTCTTTGTTTTCCCTCCCTTAAATAACACAAACAAAGACTTCTTCAGAGCCACCTGGTCCTTGACCAGTTGTCCTCTACTTTACCTTAGATTTACCTCTGGGGTTCCCTGTTAAAGGGGTTTAATCTGCATGTTTGGGCTTTCTTAGATTCCTGATATTCTGACCCTTTTTTCCTCCCTTCAAAGGGCTAGAAAAGCTATTTTGAACAACCAGAAACAAAACTGATTTCATGTGTAACAAAGGCTGAATTTCTTTAAAATTTCACATTTGATAACATATTCTTTTTAAAAAACCTGACATGCTAATTTAAAAAAAAAATCTTTTGAGGAATAATTCAGATATATAGACTAAGTAATATTTTTGTGCTTTCTTTTCTAATTTTGCTTATGTAGCTTCCATGACAAGATCATTATTTCTCAAAAGCAAATCTCTATTTTCTACCTGATGTTGTTTGCTTATATTTAATTCTGCCATGAGAAAAATGTACAGAATGAAAAAGTTAAAGCTAGAATTATTGAGTTGAATATGCAGACAATCCAACATGTTCTCTTGTGATGCCAGAATTTGCAGCTGCGCAGAAGATGGCAGAAGGATTATCTTTTAATTAATTTTACAGTTTGTGATGATTTTATTGGCATTATTGCCCTAAACCGTGTGTATATAGACATCTGCCAAGTATTAGCCATTTTTTAGATTCCCATTAGTTCCTTCTAGTTCTGGCAGTGTACAGCATATCTGGTTTAGTAAGGAGCACCTACTCCTTTGAGGAAAACACAAGGCAGGGTAGATTTGCACCTTATAGACTAACTGAAGCAGAGACGTGGCATAAACTTTTGAAAGGGGCAGGCTTACTTCAGCATCTAATGAAGCAACCCTGCTGCTTATGGAAGTTTATGCTATCTTTCTCTCTCTGAGGGGGATATAAGTTAAATAATTACTTGTTACTTGTATCCCCCTCCGAGCAGAGCAAAGAGTAGTTATGCTAGTCTCAAGTCAGGCAGAATAGATTTGCACCTTAAAGACTAACTACACTTGCGTGCGCGCACACACAGACACACACACGTGTATGTATATATAGTTAGTCTTTAAGGTGCAAATCTATTCTGCCTGACTTCAGACTAACATGGCTAACTCTTTGCTCTGCTCGGAGGTGTATACTAGTAACATGTAGTTATTTAACTTATATTCTGCCATAGATAATGGGTTCATTTTCTCTAGGTGAATGCCATGTAAAGTTACTACTCAATAGCCCCATCCTTTTTGGTTAACCAGTTGCTCCATCTGTAGGAGAATTAACATTGTTATCTGTTATCATAGTGGTTATCAATGATTTTGATGTACATTGCTGCTTCCCTCCACCTGCCAAAAATGAGTACTTTTTTGTGCCTTTTCTTCACTCCATGTAGCAGAACTTATAATTGGCTATTTCAAATAAAATGTTTTTGAAAACAAAGATACATGATATCAGCAGGGCCATGGTAAACAGATACATCTGTAAAGAAAATACTTTATTCTTATGGAAATCGTCCTCGGTTGAAAAAGATTAAACTGTTCAAATGTGGACACTAGGTTAGCTTTGATTTCCCTTTCTCCCCTCCCCCCACTGCTTCTAAGTGAGAATAAGTCAGTTCATCTGTCTTTGTTTCTGTTTGAGATCAGCAGCATATACATGCAGCCTTGCTATATAATGCCCCCATTGCTTTAGCCTGTGAACAGGCAGGTTATGAACTATAGAAGAATGCTGCTGAGAAAATGCAACAGAGAAAAATTAGCAGTGTTCTCTGAATAAGTAAAGAAAAAAAAAAAGCTGCGTTCTAATCTGAAATTAAAAGTAAACAATGATAATTGAGTACACAGCTTTGTCAATTAGGAATTCCAACACTGAGTAGCTTCCTTAATGTTTCAAAGCTTCTAGTAGTTGGTTGGGGGCTGTTATTAGAAACCTTGAAAATGGAGGGAGAGGGTAGATTTGAATCTGACAAGCTCCTGTCATTTTAAAGGCTTCTAATAACATCTCTTTTCCTTCATTGTTCTGGTGCAGTTAAAAGGAGTACAGTTAATTTACAAAGTAGGTAGTATAGGGGTGAAAGATGCTGCTTACTTAACTGGTTAGGCTAGGGACAGACATTCAAAAAGCCTGAGACTGTATTGATTCAATCTTTGCAGGTTAGTCTAACCTGGCTAGGCTAAATCAGTTTTGTAACCAGACAGACATCCTGGAAATGTAGATACATGTGTGCAGTGACTCAGGCTAGAAGATGGGGGTGGTGCTAGAGCAGCCCTCCCTTCCCTTGCACAGGGCTGAGCAGATGGGGGGCATGGCCAGGCCCTGGAAGGACACTGTAATTAGGGAGGGGTCCCCTCCCTTGATAACAGAGCATTTATCAGCTCTATTATCAGCATTTAACACCCTCTGAGACAGGGGTGACTGGTACTTCCTGAGTCTGGGGGGAATACTGTGGACCAGAAGTGGCTGCCCTGGCAAACTGCAGACCGCCAGCTGGAACACAGTATCAGAAAACAAAGCCTCGCTAATTACAAGCTCTTCTTAAACAGCTTTTTCCAAAGGAAAATGCATCCCAGCCTCTGGGTTCTTTACTATTCATTCCATGCAGAAAGAGCACATACCAACTGCAGATGCTTCCTCAGCCTGATGAAGGATTTTTAAACCCAAAAGCTTGCTAAGAAATTTTTTTTCCAACTATTTAGGTGAAAGAGATTTACTCAAAGAACCTTGTCTGCCTTTTCCAAAGGAAGGAATGCAGGGACATTACCATCTGAGCTGTTGATTGCTACCAAAAAGCCCTAAGCAGACACTGTCCTATCTGCCTTACACAGCACTAGCTAGCATACCACATGTTGGCTACAGTCTGTGTTGTGGGAGAGAGGAAGAAGGGATCTTTGCTTAAACAGTGAGGGGTGAGGGGGGGGACGAGGAACCCAGCAGACCCTGCTGTGCCTGCAAGTCTCTGACAGAGCTGCGGCCAGGGAACAGAGGCAAGGGACCAGCCCTGCTGTGGAACAGAGCCCTGCCCAGCTCAGAGAGCATGCTGGGATGCTGGGGATGTCTGGTTTAGCTTAAACCAGCAAAGGGTCTGGGACAGGCATTGCATAAACCAGTTTGACCCAAATCATTTCAGTCTGATAACTGCTCCTCTCCACGGAAATCTTTAGTAAAAGGCGAAAGATTTATGTGACTTGAAGAGAAGCCAGAGCATACAATACATTCAACCAAGTTCATCTCAAACCGGTTTCAACCATTTTTAAACTGGTTTATGTGCACTGAACATCTGTTCTGTTACAGGTTTAAACCAGTTTCTGATCACTTAAACTAGTTTATGTGTAATGCCTGTCCCTAGCCTTAATGTTCTTAACCAGTATGCAGATAAATTGAATCTGTAACTATTTTATACAGTTAAGCAACTTTTGTACACTTATTTGGTATGCATTTTAATTGGAGTACATTGTTTTGTCATACGGAACATACTTATAAGCATGCAGGAGCAGTGACTGGCACGGTGGGGTTGCAGCAACCCCTGCTTCACCTGTTCTCTTCCACCTTCTACCCAGGTGGGCAGACTGCTCTGTGATATGGGAATAGGAAATGGGGTCTTTTTGTTAAATCCCTTAGCCTGGTAAGACTCTTCCTTTTCCCCTCCTTATCTTTCCTTGCTCAGTGCACCTTCCATTACCCCCCGGCTGCTGAGAGTTGGATTAATGAGAAATATCTAATTCAAAACAATTTTTCTTTGAAAACAATTTTCTTTTCTGTTATAAAATTCCATTCATCCTAGATGTCTTTCAATCTTGTGTTGGATGTACACTTCAAATTTTGTGAGACGAAAACATTTTCAAAAACTTGATTTTCAGAAATATTAAAACAACCTAATTTGAAGTACTTTGAGTTTTGTATTATATTACATTATATGGAAAACTCATTTGATAAAGTATTGTATAATAGTTAAATGATGGATTGAGACAAAATATTTCAGCTTTTTAAAAAAGAAATGGATTTAAATTTATCATTGAGAAGATAGGGATATTTCTACAAAACATTTGAGTGTTGTTAAATTAACATTTTCTAACCAAAAAATGTTTTGGCTGGTTCTATTCAAAAGCCATGACTTTTCATCATAGAAGGAGTTACAGAACTTTCTGTACTTTTACTTACTTTCCTATGTATTTTTTCTTTGATGAAATGTATAAGTAAGGCATGTGTAGAAAAAGAAGTTTATCACTTTTTCTCAGCAGCTGTCTTATTGTTAACTTTCCCAACTTATCTAAACATCAAGTCTTGGTCCTATGAAAGCTGGAGGTCCTGTGCACTGCTTAGTTGTATTAAGAATCCCAGTGTGGTATAAAAGAGACTTTAGATAATTGAATACTTAGGACTTAGTCTTTAGAAATACACTGGTGATTTTTTTTTTGTGGCATTCAGTGTAATTGCTACACAGGAGTTGTATGTCTGTTGGAAATACTTGGGAAATTTTTCACAAGCTTTCTTTTTTGGGGTATACAGTAAAAAACCCCACTACTTAGCTAGGTAGCTTTAGCTTGTGGCCAGTGTATCTTGTTTTGGTACAGTAACGAGGTAACATTATCACATTAGTGGCATCATTGATGCACACTGACATAATATGCTGGCACTACAAATTTGGTTATCCTTCTACCATCCTTGTGTTTTTATTTTCTGAATGTAAGACCTTCCTGAGATGACGCAAAGCAAAATCATTAAAATAGGTACAGAGAGTCTTTCCAATAGCAATAGAGACAAGAAACCTAATGCTTTAAGATGGAGCTTGGTACGTTTGTCTACTGTATTATATAATGTCTGTGATTATAGGAGGTGGGATTTGATACCCTGAGAAGTTCCTTGTGGTCCTGTGTACCTGGGTTTAAACAGTATATTTGAAGTTGAGTAGAGTATATTTTCCTATCAAAATGAGAAAATGTAACTTGAATTAGAATTTTTGCTGTAGTTGTCTTCTATT